CGAGGAAGCTTTGGTTGTGCCGGGTTCGGCTGTCTTGCGCTAGTTGTTGAGGCCGAGTCGACGCGTCTTGCCGGGTCGGAGAGCTCGGCCGAGTTGCGGGGCTTGGCCGGCCCCGTTGTTTTTGAAAAGGATCCGGGTTCCGTTGCCTGCTCGAGGTTCACCCCCCCCCCCCCCGACAGTAGTCCCCGAAGCTGTGAAGGTCCGCCGTCTTCGGATGAGTGGGCCTTCGCAGTTTCCCCCTTAAGCAAGGCGGATTCTGTGAGGGCCGGGTCCGGCAACACCCACTTTGTGCCGGTCTTCTTGGAAACTGGATCGCGGCATCCCGGCCATGGCGGGAACCGAGGAGTCCGTCGAATCTTGGGGCAATCCCTCGGGCTTCGCGCGGGCGCCACGTGGTGCCCGGAAGTCGGAGGGGCCTGACAGGCCACGCGCATGACGGGACTGGGCGACGGGCTGGGGCCCACTGCCGCGCGCCCTTGGCCCACATGCGCGTGGATTTACTGCGGCGTCCGTGGGCCGGTTGCTCTTCCCCGGGCAGTTACTGTGTTTGTACGTGCACACTTATTGCGGGGTAGTGGAACGGGCGCGTGCAGACGATCCCACTCCCCCACGTCCAAACCGAGGGTTATAAATCGGGGGGGCAGGGGGGCGGCGGACATCATTCTCGCACACGCCCTCCTGCCCATCTGCTCTTGCCCTGCTCTTTGCAACCGACGCACTGCGGCGCCCGCTGCTCCAAGCAGAACTCCTCCGTCCTCCATCTTCTTTCTTCTTCCTTCGATCATGGCACTGCCGTCGGGCTCTTGGATGGGTTCGAATGTCACCACCGAGGACATCGCCCATCTTCGGGCGTCGCGGTGCCTGCTGCGGGAGACGAATGTCGTCATCCGTCTGCCGCGCGGCGAGCAGAGGCCACAGCCCGAGGAGTTGGAGCGCGTGGTCTTCCTCACGCACTTTGAGCGCGGATTTGGGCTGTCGGCGAGCACCTTCTTCCGCACGTTCCTGGAGTTCTTCGGGCTCCAGCCGCATCATCTTGGCGTCGGCGCCATCGTCCAGCTCTCTGGCTTTGTCACCCTCTGCGAGGGGTACCTGGGGGTCGAGCCCACGATCGACCTCTGGGCGCGCTTCTTCTTCCTGAAGCAGCAGGGCCCGTCGTCTGAGAGTTCGCCGACTGCGGCGCCGCCGTCATCTCGAAGCGGTCGGGGGCGGACTTCCCCAAGATCCCGCTAGAGGATTCTGACAAGAAATGGCAAAACTCCTTCTTCTACGTTCGCAACTTGGGTGCAGACTGCATCAATCTTCCGGCCTTCGCCATCGCGCCGCCGCGGGCAAAGATAAACTGGGGCTACTCGCCCAGGCGCCCGTCGCAGGAGATTCTCAATCTCTGCGAGCGGGTGACGGTGATGAGGATGCGGGAGGGGCTCACCGGATACGACCTCATCGCCGCGTTCATCATGCGCCGGGTCCTCCCACTGCAGAGGCGCTCCTGCCTCATTGGCAAGATGGTCGGCCTTCAAGACCCCAACCGCATGGGGTCGACGCAGCTGACAGCAGAGCAGATCGCGCACCACGTGAACGACATCTCCAAGGCCAACCTTGGAGAGGACTGGCGGTTCGGCAAGGTGCCGTACAGCGAGTCGAACCCGGC